ATAAGGAAATTCATGTTTAGTTTCTCCATTATCTTACACCATTTTTTTTCTCTTTTGTCCCATGGTTAAACCTTGCCTGAACAGGATCCTAATCTCTTCATCCCTTCCCACAGAAAACATGTCAGAAGCAGAATTCACTGTCTTCCCCCCTTTTCCTCATTCTTTCTGATTTTTTTTGTGGGGGTGCAGGGGTAGTACTAGGGTTTGAACTCAGGGCTTTGAGCTTGCTAGGCAAGTGCTCTACTACTTCAGCCATTCTGTCAGCCCGAGGACACATTGTTTAAATTGGATGCCAGTTTATGGGAAACAAAGCAAAGATGCAGAGATGTGAAAGGGACTGTCCAGTTCTAGAACAACTGAAAAAGTATTTTGGCATGAGCATTTTAAACAAAATGAAAAGAGATGGGGCTCAAGGTACAAACACAAATATTGAGGAAGAAAATGTTACCATCAACTTAAGTTATTAAGGTCTGATAAAGCCTCAGTGTACAATAACCTTTGATTTGGGGATGCTCACGATTAGTCTAAGTCCTACTTTACAATGACTCTGAGAGTCATGCTACTTGTCCAAGGTGAGAGGGACCTTAAGTCAGAAAGTGAAATGAACTGAGAGCTGTTTAATAGAAGCCTAGGTATTGGTCAAGGAGTCTTCTGCTGTTAAAATTCTGTCCATCTTATCCACAGGAGGATTTATTCAAAGTAGTAAAAGCTAAAAGTAAAAAAGAAAATGAAACAATAACCCCAAAGCCCACATTTTTCACCCTGTTACCATGAAGTCCTCTACCCCAGGAACTTACAGATTCTCCCAGGGACTGTGATCCTTTCTTCCTGCTGTTGTGCATCAGCATTCTCTGGAAGCCATTTTATCCCTGGAAGCAGGACATTCCATGGACAGGAATAAGCTGCGCTGCCCAAGCGGGGCCTTGAGGTAAGGTATTGCTTTCTCAAACTGTGTTCCTACTGCTGCTGTCAGTCTCCCAGGAATTCTAAATTGTGTCCATGTGACAACATGCTACATAGGAGACCTGGCACTTCCCCAGACTGAGGTATCAGCTGGTGCTGTATTTGATTTAATGCCAGCCAAATCCTGCTTTCTTACTGCCCAGACCTTAACCTACAGTTACCTTTAGGAAGGGCAAGGTAGGTTACTGGGGTATGACTCAACCCTTGAAACTTCTACTTTTTTTGCTCTTAAAGGTACAGGACATGGATGTGGCAGACCATAGAGATAAGATTCCAAGAAACAGCCAACAAAACTACCAGACATAGCACAATCAGATTCATTTCATTTTTATTAGGAGCTCAAAATCAGTACAACTAGCTTCAGAGTTGATATTAATAGAAATTATTCCAAAATTATTCTTAGGTCACAAATAACTGTCTCACATAAAAAAGAAAAAAATCTTACCCAGGTAAGGAAAAAGGTATCCAGCATGGTTTCATGGCAATGAATATGCATTCTCAAATTTTGCCTGACTAGTTATATACCACCTCTCCAAAAGATGCAGTCAATGTCTTCAGAGGACAATGTAGACTAATGATTGCACCCAGGACATGTGGACATGTTAAGTTCATGGTGGAACACTAAGTTTGTAGACATGAGACGTTCTCTAGTGAAGACACTAAAATGCCTAATAAAAAGCTGTAGTTACACCTCAAAACTGCCCTTTGAGGTAGGTCAGTATTATTACCCTATTTAACAGAAGGAAAAGTGAGGCACATTATAGTTAAGTAACTTGCCCAGTGCAATAGTTTGTGTGTCCCCAAAGTTCATGTGTTGGAAACTTAATCCTCAATGCAGCAGTTTGAGGTGGGACTGTTGAGAAGTGATTAGCTCAGGTTTTTGAATGGATGGGTGACCTTATCCCTGGGGTTTGTTATAAAAGTAAGGTCACATACCAATTCAGTCATGGGAGAGGACCTAGAGTTAGCAAAGAGCATAACATGGTCACTGCTTTGTTTATCTTTCACACTAACACATTTGAGCTACACTGACAGCGAATACACTCAGAAACTAGCAAACCAAGGATAAAGCTTTTTTTTTGAGTGCCACTACCATTATCTCATGTAAAAAAGAAAAGATAATAATCAGATACATTCAAATTACTCCACCCTCCATCAAATTTGAACACTTAATAAAAACAGTCATAAGAAAACTTTCCAAAATGAAGCTCACGGGGAATCCTACACCTATGCTCCTGTTTGTATTAGTCACACATGCAGGTTCTCTGGGGTTAAGGAAGTTTAGAAAAGAGGTAAGGCACTCAAATAAGTTTTCAGCACGTCCACAGGCAAGGACTGTTAGAAATTCAACTGTGATAATATTAGTTTCTTATTAATATGGCACTTGAACTCTTGAATCTGGAAAATAGTGTTCTTTACTGAGCTGACATGCCCCTAACCTACACACCCATATATATATATATATATATATATATATATATATATACACTAGGTCCCTCAGCCTGAGATCTCCATCTATACTTGGGTAAGGATATAGGATGAGTCAGATCCATGGAGTAAGATTAGAAGAGGAAGAAAACAGCTGATTTTATTATCCACATGTTATAAAGCAGGCATCTGATGACCTGTGGAAGTAGAATCACCTAAAGCTCCAAGAATCAGGACCATCTTGCTGACACAGGTCACCAGATGTAACCTACAATTACCTTCCATGAGATTCTTTCCTACATCAAAGCACAGCTCAAAGCCTCTTTCAATTAACACAGGAAGAAAGGCCTTGCTGTCTCCCACTATTGGGGCACAGCAATGTACACAGCATTAAGTTTGTACATGTCCAATTCTAATACAGACTTCTGCACTGAAAACTGAGCTACAGTGACAGGAGAGGTCTGTGGTCTCCCATGTTTTCTCCTAAATATTCCTGTACCGTTGTCTGCCCTAGGGTGTATGGTAAGGGATACTGGTTAGTTTGTTGAATAAATATTCTACTAAGCAAAGTTCATGTTATCTCAGACCCCACTTTTCAGTCAAAGCTTTGTAAGACACCCAGGCTACAGGAATTGGGACCTTTTGTTGACATGAGGCATTGAGAACTTGCCTCTGCTTCCTAGTAAGGAATAAGTGACCTCTTCCTTCCATAAGCATTGCACTGTCAGCTGGGAGGACTGATCAGCCAGAGTGACCTTGGAAGAGCATGCAGGAGGCACTAAGCTTTCTGCTCTGACCCAGACAGAGGAGACTAACAACAAACCATCTTTGGTGAGTGACTGGCTCACTGGCACAATGTGAGCATTTGGCTTGGCTCTGACTCAAGAGCCAAAGAGCCTTTCTGAGCCATGGTTTATTTCTAGAGGATTTGGCAAATTTTTCTGAAGTCATCAGGGTGTCAGAGGCACACAGAGGTGGAGGTAGAGGATCTGAAACCCACAGAAAAATGGCAGTCAGTTCCACTTGCTGAAGAGACACAGCAGTTCACACCCATGAGCACTGTCTCTGCAGGAGGGAGCTATCTGGACACCAAGGCCTCCTTTCATGAATATACATTGCAGGCTGCCTATCCAGGGAAAGAAGATGTCAGAGTACAGAAAGAACTGGTAAGAGAAAAGGGAAAAGATGGGTTAGAGCCAGGAATGAAATCAGGATGTTTTCCACTCCACAGGCAGTACAATATGTAGTAGATTGGATGGTTACAGAACAAGGGATGAAAGGATACAACAGTGAGGAGAAGCCCAATTTTTACTCAATCCAAGGACAAATTTGGAGTAATGAATGGAGCTAACATTGAACTTGTTTCCTTAAGACACCTAATAACTTAGTATCTTCTGAATCTCCTGACAATTTGTTTTCAGAGCCCTTCATTTGGAAATTTACCTCTTAAGAGATGCCACAGACTCTGCCCCTCAACCTCTCCATCTCCTACCCAGCAGTAAGAGGAATAGGCAACCCAGTAACTCCTTTCCTTCAAGTCTCATTAGCATGTTTCTCCAAAGGAAATACTCTAAGTGAAATATTTTCATGTTCCAAGCAAAAGATTTTATGTCTACATATTTTTGTTTGTCTTAACTCTACTGCTAAAATCCTTCCATTTTCTGGATGTTTGGAAATGCCACAGAAATCCTTTGCTATGAGGGGAGTGAATAAAATCCTGAGGATGGCAGAACAAAAGATGAAAGAAGTTGATGAGCACCTCAAGGAATACTCAAAACCCCATGGGCTGCTGCTATATTCACCAATTCTAGGAACATCTAACCTGAAGAATTCTTATCTATGAGGTAAATCTCCTTGTTATTAACAAAAATAAAATCCTTCCCCAGCACAGGCCCCCCCTTTTACTACTAACTAAATACTTTCCCTTTGCCCTCAGTCACTGATTTTCTTTTGTGATCTAGTCTCACCAAACTCTATGGCTTAGAGTCAGGAAAGAAAGTAAGCATGCTGTATGGAGGGACTTGCGTCTTGATTAGGTAGGCAGCTAGGTCTAATCACTGACAGCTTCCTCTTCCCTCTTTTCACATCTCTACCCCATCCTTACTTATGTACCATTCTCTGTATGCTAACTTGTTGTCCTGATGATCTATGTGTTTCACAAACTGTGTGTGAAATAAAGGTATTTTCTTATTCCACCTACCAAAGCTTGGGCTAAAGATAATTAGCAAAGAACTTTCAGGAAGGTTTTCTTGTTTTTCTAGTTTGAGCCACCTACCTTGAGCTGAGAACAGATCAAAGAAAGATTTATCTGGGACAAAATCCAATATTTCAGACACCAGAAAGGTTGTCTGGGCTTTGGAAGATAGATACAGACCAGTGATTTTACTGGCTATTTGCCTGGGAGACAATGAGAAAGAAGAGACAGGAAGGAAGGTGGTAGGAACAAACCAAAATACAGTGGAAATAGAAGAGAGGAGTAAAAATAAGTATATCACTTTTTAGCATCATAATAGCAAACTTATTGGCTTTTAACACTTTTTTTTTAGAATATTCAAATTTATTATTTATTTTTAAAAATTGACACATAAAATTGTATGCATTTATTGTGCACATGTCTGGAAGTATATATGTTGTAAAATGGTTAAATCTAGCTAATTAAAATATGTATTATCTCAAAAAGTTATCAAAACTTTCTTGTTTTAAAAGAATACTGTACCGTAATGGGTTATGGTCATCATCTTTAGCATCCGGGTATTGTTATTCAGTAGTTAATCAATAGAACATTAAACCTTTGCCCAGCTGACTTTTGGAATAGGAACCCGGACAACCCAGACTCAGCCACTCTTGTAGCTTCCATCTCCAGTTCTTTTAATCCTGGCCAAGATGGCAGCCTTGGACACTTTCTTCCGGTCATAAGCCAGACCAATGGCAGCCATGCAGTCGATGAAGAATGTGGTGAAGTTGAGGCTCCAGCGGTACTCACTGGCAGAGTAGTCATAGGGGAAGGAGTGGTGGTAGTTGTGGAATCCCTCGCCTGGAACAACAGCAAGGAGAGCAGTTAGGGAGCTGGATGGATTGCTGCTTCATCTGTGCACACCTCTTACCTGGTAGGTTCCTCAAGCCACAGAGAAACCTGTTGCTATTGAATGAATGGATGAACCCAGTGTCTTCTACTCTGAAGCAAATAGAAGCCCTCAGAGACGTCTTTTTATTTTTTTTCCTTTTTGAGACAGGGTTTTGCTATATGGTCCAGGCTAGCCTCAAACTCCTGATTGTCTCCTGAGTGTGAGAATTACATTTGGCCACTAGGCCCAAATCCTTGGAGGCATCTTAAGCAATTTGTTGAGAGGTCCTGGTCACTGATGGCTGTCTAAGAGCCTTTGTTGGAAAAAGTTTCTTAGAGGATAAGAGAATTGGAGAGAAGCTGATTTTGCTGGGGAAAAAAATTTATGCTGGTAAAATGCCAGAGCTTCAGTAAACACTGGTCAAAAGCCCCACAGGCTGTGTGTGTATGGGCATGTATTGGTGGGCATGAGGAGAGGGTCCTGGAACAACTGTGGCTATGCTTCTTACACAGGTGAGGAAGCAGCACCCCTTTTCCCATTGCACTGGTGCTACATGTAAGGCTGGGAGACTCCAAAAGAATGAGCAGCAGCAGCCAAAATTCAAGAGGAAAAGAGATACAAACAGGTACCAGAGTTCTCTCAGACACTGCCGGTTTACAGTGGGCTGCTGACTTGTATTCTCAGAACTTTGACACTGGGGTGGGGAGGTGCTGATAAAACAGAACCATTTTGAAAATACTTAGCTATTCCCTTTGACGTCTGAGATTCTGAAGACTCCTAGGATGATCTTTTTAACAGACAAGAGGAAAATGAAGATATTTTGGATTCAGGATAATTCCTGCAATAGGTCAAGTATTGAGACTCTTCTTTCTGAATCAACTCCAACACTTAACAGTACTTATCCATATCAGGTTAGGGTAAAGAAAAGTTAGTAAGAAGGTTGCTGGACCCTTGAAGATAAACATACTCCTAGATAGAGTAGGAATGGCATGAATAACAGGCCAGGAAGGAAGTGCTGCCAAGTGTATGCCTCCATGCAGGGCTTCTCTGTATGCGGGTTTGCATGATGTGAACTGAGTGGGGGGGTTGGGTAAGGCCAAGTGTACTGACAGAAGATTGCTAACATCCACACGGGTTTCCACAGCTAGGCTCTGAGTGACACTCATAAGGCCACAGTTATCAGATTTAAGATGGAATCAGACACACACATTGACAAGGTAACAAGGGAGAGGAAGTCGATGAATGTTAACTAGGGCCGCAAGAGACAGCGAGGAAAGGCTCCAGAGGAAGGTCAGCTTTGTCACAAGAAGAGCTGTGACTATAATTCAAGAATAAAAAGATTAGAATGAGGTGCGAGCAGGTTTAGAGAAATGAGTAATAGCTAGGACATCTCCAGTCACTTTGAATTGGGGATCACAAGGAGGCTAGAGGTGGAAAAGCTTAGTATAGTTCCACTTACAATGCAGGACATTCACATCTCAGTCTAGAACATTCCATTTCAGCTGCAGGCATGGCTGGAGTGGTAGAATGCTTGCCTAGCAAGAACAAAGCCCTGAGTTCAAATCTTAGTACTGCCAGACTATTCCATTTCTATGAAAATCTCAGATTTGTACAGCACAGGTGTTTTGTTTCAAAGATAGATCAAAGTGAGGACATGCAAAATTGCAGAAGGTGCTTGAGAGAGGGAGGAGACATATGGAAGTCAAAAAGGGATATAGAGAAAAAGAAAAAAAAAAACCTTTTAATACAGTAAATGTAATTGGGATGAGACTATACAGAAAAATTAATGAAAAAAAAAAAGAATGTTATAAAGGATGAGCAGTGTGGGTGCCTATACCCACAGTGTGGGTTCATCATTAGATGAACAATAGTTCTGATCACTGATAATAGGCCACTGGATCTGTACAGGGAAAACCTGAGGCCTTAGTCAAAGTCTTTGTTCTCTTGAAAGGACAGATCAAAGTAGAGACAGATGACAGACCCCTTTTTTCTTTGATCTGGCAATTGGGAACTAGAAGTATAAAGGGAAATTCAGGATTGTCAACATCAGAACATGGAACAAGAACTTCTGATGAAACACTAGGCATATATGCCATCCAGTTGACCCTATTGTTCTATTTATGCATATCCTGCCCCAAGTAAGACTACAGACTTTTTCTAGTCTAGGAAAAAGGAAAACTAAAAGGGACTCATTTATAGATAATATTTGAAAATTGCTTTACGAATTTTAAAAGTGAAAAGTAGAATTATTTTTCACCCTTTCTGTCTTACACAAGAGTTGCTGACTGACCCTTAAGTGGTTTCCAACATATTTCTGCCTAGGTTTATAGTGGAAAAACTGAACTACACAATGCTCATAAAACTAGCTCATTCCAGATCCTTTGGATCCTAGCCAAATAACTTAATCTGCAGACCACTAGATGTTGTTGTGCACTGCTGACTTACCTACAGCTCCCAATGAAACCAGGATGTTCTCTCGAGACTCAATGTTCTTGTCATAAGGGCGATATCCATATAGATGGGCAGCACTGTTCACCAGCCAAGTGGCATTGAGCACTACAGCATATCGCAGGAAAGTGGCAACAAACAAACTGTGTGGAAAGGTTTCACCCCAACAATACCAGGGCACCAGCGTGGGCAGGATGAAGCACATCAACAGGAGAGCAGACTTGTAGTACCTACACAAGAGACCACACACTGAGTCTGTGGAGAGAGGACTCTCACACTTACCTGGTTATCCATTCTCACTGCTGGACTGTGTGCATACAGGGTGGCAAAAGCAATCAGGAGGAAATGCAGTAGTAAATCTTTTGAGCAGTACTGCTATTAATTCACTCTTTAGATGAGGCAGTATTAAAAGACTTTCCTAGGATCACCCTACTGGAAACCAGTGGAGCAAGGACTGGGACAGCTGTTTCCTGACTAGAAATCCAAGGGTCTTTTTGACAAGCGCATGAATCCACGTTGGTCAGTGTCAAATCACAACCTCATCAGCATGTCCTGCTACCTGTGCTGTTGTCTGTCTACCTTTGGGCTCCTTTCTCTTGCCCTCTAGGACTTTGGCTCAGAGTGTGGTTAAGTGTCAAGCCTCCATTCCTGCTACCATCCCCTAGTTCTTCTCTGCTTTTCCCTCAGGAGGCACACTGAGTGTCTTTGACAACCTTTAGGTTTTTGTCCCTGAAGGCCCTGTCTTCTCTTCATTCCAATGTTGACAGGCAATTGACATTCCAAAGGAATGATTGCTTACATCATCAATAGTCATGTTTTCAGCTTTTATGACACTGACATTCCCTGCATCCACCTTCCCATTCCTGCCACTACTTCTCTAGTTTGAGTACTCCCTACTGTCTGTCTTATCCCTGCATCTCACATCTCTGGTTCAATGATATTTTCACCTGTGTTGAGAGTAGCCTCTCCAAAGCACCCCTGACTGGGCCACATGGCACTGGAGAAAGCTTTGTGGGTCCCTGTTGCAGACTGGATTAATCCTAAGTCTGTGTTTAGGACTCTACAGGAACCATATCAGTCTGTCTTTACAGTCTTTTTTCTTATCACACCCTTTACTTCAAGGAGAAGAACTATGTTTCTAGAACATGCTTGAGGCCTTATCTTACTGTTCCTTCTGTTTGCACTGTCCCTGCCTACCCATACTTGTGACAGGCTCTATTCCTGGGTGGGTACGAATGCCACTTTGTAAATAAAGTCTTCTCTTGTGTTTCCACGGAGCCATCTCACTCCTCTTTGTACCTTTCAGGGTATGAAAAATATTGTTCTGCCTTTCTTCCTGGTTATTTTGGTACTTGCCTTATCCCTCCAACCCCCACCTACAGGCTAAAAATTCCTTGAAGCTAAGGATTCTGCTATATTCATTTTTCTGTCCATGACTATCTTAGGTCAGTGAACATTTGCTGCATTGATTCGTTTTACTAAGATAATTTACACAGGTACAGCCTGTGGGATGTTAATAATTGGGGCTTTCAATCATTTTGAATTTACAAACCCAGTAAATCACTCAGCTATAATTTTATAAGTTCTAAGAGAAAAGGTGGGGGGGGTCTCCAAATCCCACATTCCCAGGGCCACATCCAGCTCCATTCACCCTTCACTCACCTCCTCTGGAACATCACCAGTTTCTCAGCTTTTAGGTCAGACATGTCCAGCAAACCACCTTTCTTTTTGACAGCTGGGTGTTTGCGCACCAGCAGCCAACCCACGTGAGAAAAGAAAAAGCCACGACGGGAATTGTGAGGATCAGCGTGTGTTTCTGAGAACTTGTGGTGGGCACGGTGGTCTCTGGCCCACTCATACACATCGTTCTGGAGGGAAAGAGAAGAGGAACTCAGGCCTGAGGAGAGTTTCCCTTTAGGGAGGATTCCAATGCTTAGGGATGTCTGCAAGGGCCAGGGCTCTCAGCCCAACCTTACAGATTTTAGGACCCTGGCTTCACAGAAAGCATGGATACCTGCCCTGTTCTGAGCTCTTCTCCCTGGAGCTTATGTGGAAAAGCAACTTCTACTCCCAGAGCACAGGACTAGCACTGCTACTTTCTAAAGGTTGTATGGTGGAGAGAAGGGAGTAAAACACAGTGCTCAAACTGTTTCATTAGCAAAGAACATTGGCAGTTCTTCATCAAAGAATGTGGGACAGTGTCCTCATGGAGCATGTAATCCCTGAACAGACAGTATGAAGAAGCAAATCACCTTGGGTCCTAGGGTGCTGGTCTGTGGAAAAAGGATAAAAGATACGGGAAGCTCTATCCTGATGCCTTCACCCAATACCAAGGCCAGCATGTAACTCATGACCAACAGCACATTTCCAAAAGACCTCTACATTTGTCTGGGACTCTATCCGTTCAAAACCGCACCAATATGTTTTCTTCCTTCCCTTTGCCCCACAAGGCCCTGAGGAGCCTCAAGGAACAAGTTGCTAGGGCAGAGATGATTCCATAAAGATTCTAAATACCTCAGATACTTCCAGGAAATGGGACTATTTTGGTTTCCTGGTTTTTTTTGGGAGGGCAAGTTAATCCTGTTCTATTGCTATAGCCTAATATCTGTGAGAGTACCCTTCCCTAATTCTGTTCATTCATTATGCTGTAAACCAGCCTCAGTGGTTGATGTAGCCAGCATGGGCTCCCCTAGATAGGACAAGTTTGTCTATCCAACTTTTCAGTGATTCAGTATCCTCATCTATAAAAAGGTAATAATAACACCTACTTCTAAAGATGGTATGAATCGCTTCTCAGCCTTTTGGCTAAGATCAAGTGTAGAATCTGTTCTTATCAGTTTAAAGATGGTATGAGGATTTAATGAGTTAACCTATGTCAATCACTTAGCAAAGTGCCTGTCACAAGTCACTGCCATAGATGTGTTTGCTCTTATTATCTGCAAAAGAGTTCCTAAGTCTGTGCCATATCGCCTTCAAACCTTTTGTGGTGAGGCCTAAGATAGTCACTGTAATGCATGAGATTATTGTCTACTTTCTAGGAAACCATAGTCAATGTCTGCCTTATGCACCATGGTCCCTTAGGCTGAAGGACCACACACCCACTCTGTGTGATAATAAAGGAACTTTGGGATTAAAAAATAACCCTACACCTGGAGAGCCTTTCCTATTTACCTCCTATTTCTCTTCCCAATGACCATGAGGCACCCTAGGTTGTATGGACCTCAGCACTGAGCCTGCACTTGAGGTGACCACAGGGACTGGAAATGGCCAGGGCTGTTCTGCAAGGACTCCTTTCCAGGCATTGAGCCTTTCCATTCCATCCTTGATCATTCAATAGATGGAGACACAAGGGCTGCACAGTGCCAGCTTCTTACCTGGAATGCCATGGTGTTGGCGATGATGAGGAATAGCCGCAGGGGCAGCCGCGCTTTGTAAGTCCGGTGGCTCCACAGGCGATGAGCCCCTGCTGTGATGCCCAGGGCGCTGACTACATAGTACATGTATGCTGCAGGACAAGACAGAGAGAGTTACAACAACAGGCCAGTTCCACTAGGAGAAGCATGTTCAGACATTCTCCTTGTGCCAGAGGCCACTTCTTTAGGCTTCGGGGAATGATCTGCTTTTCTGTGAAGCCTAGGCAGCCTTTGTGTGAGATTCATAGCTTTCACCACTTGAAAAATAGTTACCTCCCAGCCTCTTCACTTAAAAATGGAGATAAAAGCTAAGGACACCCAGGAATTAAGGAGGCAGAAAGGCAGGAGAGGGAATAGGCTCTCGCCACTGAGCCATTTGTCACTGTCAGACTACAGGAACATTATCCCAGGTCCTATCTCCTTTGATGGTCAACTGATCTTCTCTAAGGTGTTCTGGACTGAAAACCACCCTCCCCCATTCAGCCTAGGACCACAAGCAAGGGTGTTCTGAAAGCAGCAGTGTGAGCGGTCTGGGCACTGTCCAATTTAAGGAGCTTTAAGTTGTAGGGGACACTCAGGTGATTCATATGTGTGGCCATTTACCACCCAGTATAACAGAATTTTAACACTGTGGCAGGTAATGCAGCCATATCAGGCAGCCCTGCACACATCATATGTGCACAGTGGCCTAAACTTTACAAGGGTGTTAATACTCTCACATTCACTGCACACATCAAATGGTATAGGTGCTATTAATACTGCACATTATAGGTGAGGAAAATAGATCTTGAGAGACAGCAGACGTTTATCCAGGATCACACAACTAGTAAGAGTAGAGCCAGAGTCTGAAGCTAGGTTTTCTGTCAACAAAGAGTTTATTTTCCAGCTCTATCACCCACTCTCCTGTGTCCCTCCTTCAGCCCAGTTACCATCAATAATAATTCTAGACAGTGCTGACAACTGAGCATCAGTACATTGTCTTGCTTTATCATTTTCTAGGTCTGCAGGCAGAGGAGGTGCTGATCTTATCTCCAAGAGGGAATCACTTCACTTCCTGATTGGCAGCTCTGGAAGTCAGGGGCTCAGGCCTTGGTAGAAACATTTAACAATGTTTCATTCCTAGGGATCACCTGGGAACAGTAGATCCTTAGTGGCCAGGAACAAATTGTCCTTGATTCTTCTACAGAAAAACCAGATACAAGTTTCCTAAACAGTCTCCTTGTTTCTCCTCTCCTACACTCTATCTTATTTTTCCTTCAGGATCCTCAGAAGAGCCATACAGCAAGCATCTGTCCCAAGATAAGTTGTGGCCACATTCACCTAGGACTGAGGCCCCAGGTGATTTTCTACCTCTGGCCATGTGGTAAGTGGTAAGTGGAATCTTCTTCCTACATACAGCATCTGACTACACCTGCACCTGGAGAAAGCAAAGTGGAGGCAGAGCCCTGCCCTCAAAGAAAGGGCTTTGAGCAATGCACAAGCCTTCAGATGAGAGTCATGGAAACATCCATGTTTACGTCATGCTGCACATTTGCTCTGAAACCACATTTGATCCTACTTTAACAGGGTACTTGGACAAGAACCCAGGCACTCTGGGACCTGTTCTGCCCTGACCTCTCAATTCAGAAGGCTCAGGTTACTTAGATCAAGGAAAGGACTGTTAGTGTCCACAATGATGGTTAAGCAACACCTCACAGCTTTGTCCTAAGCAGTGGGCTAGGGGTTTTTTGCTCTTTGCCCTCAGTCGTTTCAGAGGTCACTTCAACTTCACCCTAGGATTCTTCTAGACTTTCCAGAGACACTAGCTGAACCAGGAGGAAGGCCTAGGAGGAGACACAACTAACCTAAGGAACACAATCTTCCTAATCCTGACAAAGTAGTGTTGTCCCCACTTAGTACCTGGAAACACTCGGGTGCTGAGAAAGGGGATCACTTCAGTTGCATTTCCCTGAGGCACGTGGAAGACTTCCAAACCCAAAGCTTGAGGGACCAGATCTGACCACCTTTAAGACTTATAAGGTGCAGGGATAAACAGATTAACACCTGGCCAGCCCTTCTACATACAACCCTCTAAGATAGAGTTGCTTGAAAAAAAAGTATACCTGCCTGAGAATGCTCCAGAAAACCTCCTGTTATCTTCTGGAGAGGGACTTGTGTATCACAGTTCTTCAAAGAGCAGCAAGTGGCCCCTGTATTTGTAGAGCATACTGCTCCCCCATCCTGATTCAGGGGACAGAGGTGAAACTGCTTGCAAAGCACATGAGTGGACAGGAGGCAACACCCATGGATCCCTGAGGAGCTGAGCTAAGGCAAAGCAGGGACAAAGTGGCAACTGTCTCCCTCATTACAGCAATCTGAAGGCTGGGGTTGCTCAAGGATCCTTTCTGTGGCCTGGCTGCTCCTGCCAAAGAGCTTTGAGTAGAACTAGGGAAGACTGGCATTAGAAGGTTAGAAGGTGCTGGGTCCTTGTCAATTCATGGTATCAGGAGAGAAGCACAGGAGCAGGCAGGATGGGAATGGAACAGGGACCATTTTTGCAACCTTATTTCATTCTAAGAACATTTGTTGACTGACATTTGCTGCACCCTGGAGACCTACCTAGGATAGCAGGAGTAGCAGAGCCACCCATTCACCTGTGTGCTTGCTTGTACAGGAGCCTTCTTCATCTTCCTCTAGAACAAACTAGCTTGATCTCTGAGCGGTCAGGTCCAAAAGTTTTGTGGATAACCCCCTGCTGTTCTTCCATCTTCCCCTTTCAATAATCTTTCTGCCTGAGCCTTTTCTTTTCTTTTTGCGGTACTGGGGCTTGAACTCAGGGCTTAGACCTTAAGCCACTTCACCATCCCTTTTTTATGTGATGGCTTTTTTCAAGACAGGGTCTCGCAAATTATTTGCCCAGGCTGTGTACCGAGATCCTCCTGATCTCTGCCTCTTGAGTAGCTAGGATTGCAGGCGTGAGCCACTGGTGCCTGGCCACCTGAGCCTTTTATTTCTTTTTTTTTGCCTAGGTTCATTGTGCTACATAGTTCAGGCTGGCCTCTACCTCCCCATTGCTTGGGTTATAGGCACGCCTCTCCACACCTAGTCCCTTTATTCCTTTTGCTGTCCCCTGACTGGGCTCAACATGTAGCCTAAGGCTAGGTGCCAGTGGCTCATTCCTGTAATCCTAGCTACTCAGAAGGCAGAGATCAAGAGGATCGTAGTTCAAAGCCAGAAGGGCTGGTGAAGTGGCTCAAGGTGTAGGCCTTGAATTCAAACCCCAGTACAGCAAAACAAACAAACAAACAAACAAACCTAAGAAGCCTCTTCTCTGGCACCAAGTTCCCATGCCTCCCAGGTAGGTCCTTGATTCTTTTTGGCAGGCAGGGCTGGGTCAAGCAGCCAAGGAAGTGACTCAAACAGAAAAGTTCTTTCAGGGACAACCATGTCTCTGCCACAGGTTTACACCTAAAGCAACCTGCACACATTCCCAGGGCTCCTTACTTAACACCCATGGTAAAGGGGACCCCCCAGAACCACCTGTATCCCAATCTTACTTCACTCCATTTCTTGCCCAGTCAGCCTCCCAGAATCCTAACAGAAATGCTTGGGAAACTTGGAGGAGAGGGGCTGCTGCCCTGTGTGAGACCCCCTTTCAATAAAGAGCGGGGAAAAACCTGAGTACTGGTTGAGGACTGGTTGAGCTACTTACCCCAGATCCAGGTGTAGAACTTGCAGGTGGGAACCAGTGTGAGCCCATACAGGGCTCCCACGTGCAGCAGACCCATAAGGATGATGTTTCTCCAGACATACTCAAGCTTGGGCAGGGGGCCCTCCTCATCCTGGTAGCTGGGGTCATGGATGTCATCTTTCATTTCAGGGCGGATCTCTTCTCCCAAGTCAGGGAGAGTCTTTTCCAATTTTTGTCTTCCATTAAGTCCAGGAGGGGGCGCTGTGATGGTGGTGGTAGTGGTGTAGGAGCCGGAGATCTGCAAGGAGAGGGAGTGCAGGATCAAGGAGAGTCAACTCACAGGGCTGCAGAGACACTTCCCTCTGTACTGTTGTTGGGAGGAGGCTGCAGTAGACCCACACCCTACCACAGTGTACTTTGAGATGGTACAGGGAGAATTTCCCAGAAACTGCAGATAGATTGCGGTAAAACCTCAAAGAGAAGAGGCAGTAGAAGGGAGGGGTGAAACACTCGCACCCCTAGCAACACACAAAGGAAACCCCGCATGTGTATGTAAAGGTACCTGCACGACCGGATCTTTCTTTACTTTAAAGCTTAGGAAACAGAAGTTGGGGGAATCAACTGCCTAAATTACAGTCCACACCACCAACCGACGGCAGTAGAATTTGAGAAAGATGGCCAAGTTGTCTCTGAAGTTCGAAAGTCTCTCCCTCCACCAACCAGCAACCAATTCGCATCTGCTAATGCGCCGGGCGGGGGCCATTTCTGAAGCTCACCTCATGCAGCATGTGGGCCGGCATCGTGGCTCTCCGGCTGCTGGGATCACGTTCCCTGGGCTGAGACCGCGGAGCGGAATTTGCACCCCTGCGACCGAGGGCGGACTTCGGTTACGGAGTCCGCTTGTGCAGGGCGATCGGTGGAGCTGCGCTCGGAACCCTTCCCGGTGGCTCGCACGCTGGAAGGGTGTCTAGCCTGTGCGGGGATCTCCTTGGACTGGAATTTAAAGGGTAGAGCTGGCGATGGGTGACCGTGTCCTGTATTTCCTCAGGCCCCTTTTATCCACTGCCAGCAAGGGACAAAGTGCACAGGGCTGGCAGCCCCTCGTGGAGGTGAAGGCGGGAGAGGGGAGGGGACAGAAAGCCGAGAAGAGCTGCGACCACAGCCAAGGGGCTGGGATGCTGCAGACACCAACACCGCGCGGCTCCAGCCTTTGCCTCTTGGGAAATGCTAATGAGGCTCCTGTAAACTCTGTTTTCTCATTGGCCAAAGGGAATTTGGTGCCACCTTGTCCTGCCGTTGCCATTGGCTCGGAGCAATCTGCTGTTCCCTCTGCCGCCAGCTCTTCGCTTCCCCTCCCCTCTTTTTCTCCATCTCTGCCTCTCCTCCGTGGGTTGCTGAGCCTCAGCATGCACCCCGGCTTCGAGGGCGCTAGGGAGTTTTCTCTCTGGAAGAGGGAGAGGACTTGATCCGGCTGCGAAGATTGGGTACATGTGCAGTATTATACCTGGGCGCACGGCAAATGGTTGGACACTGATGAAATTGCACAAGAACAGTGGGGAAACCACCACGCACAACTCCATTCTGCCTTCCCATTACCCCAAACACAAGGAAGGAAAGACTTATCTTCCACCTCGGAGATGGGGAGAAGGATTGGTGCTGCAAGCTACACTCCCCAGAGAACTCCGGGGACTCTGGCCCCGAAATAATGGGTCTACCCCGCCCGCCAGTTCCTGAATACCTGAGACTGCTGGGAGTTCTGACTGCCTGAGCAGACACTAAGATAAGCGCGCCTGCATGCGCGCACCACCCTCACCTGGCACGCTCTGCAAAGCATGGCCTCAGCTAGGAGCCAGTGAGACGCATCCAGAACATGTGCGGGACGTTTGGGAGAGTCTTTGTTCTTAGGGTTGGAATTTTGGAGTGTTCTACATGGAAAAGGGCAGGAAGCACAGATAGGTGTTTGCATCCAGCAGCAGATGAAATACCTTGATTGGGGGTTAAGAACAGGTAATTAATTGATCCCTACAAGCCAATTCACAACAGTCATTTAGTTAAACTCTCACTTAGACACTGTGAGGTGGTTGCTCCATGGTTCCATTTTAAAGAGGAGGAAAGTGAGATATGGCGAGATCAAATAGCTTGATCATGGTCACACCAGCCAGAAATTGAGCACAGAAATATGAAGCTGGTGCCCAAACTCTCAATCCCTGCTGTGGGCCCCATTGCCTTAGTATCCTGAGATGTGCTGATCTCACAGATCTGTTCTTCATGGCCCCATCTTCTCTCACCCTACCAGATAGGCTAATACACTCATCCAGCCTGCTTTCATGCCCAGATTTCCCCATTTCTGCCTCTATCTGCTCTGGGAACAGGAGGCGATTAAGAGCTCTGGCTTCTCAGGAAAAGAGGAATATGGCATTGCTTGGGATGAGGACAGAGCTCTGCCCTCTGATCTCAGGGGCAGGTGGACTCCCTGGTCAGTGACCAGGCACCTCCATTCCAGGCCAGGCTCCTGGCCAGCACAAAGGTGCTGAATGAGACAAGGTCTTCCCAGAGATGGACAGCTCATGTAGTGATGGCTCAGAAATGTAAGGTGTGGAATAGGAGTCTACACAAGCTGCTTCTCTCTCAAGTTGCTTAATTCCTTTACCAACTATAGGTTTATTTTTGGTGTTGGTCCATTGGAGCTGTTGAAACAAAATACCACAGGACTTGGCAGGGGGGTGGTTAACAACAGAAATGTATGTATTTCTTTTCTTTTTTTTTTTTTTTTGTGGTGGTACTGGGGTTTGAACTCAGGACCTCATGCTTGCTAGGCACTACAACTTGAGTCACTCCATCAGCCCTTTTTTGTGTTGAGTATTTCAAGATAGAATTATTTACTCAGGCCAGCTTCAAACTGTGATCTTCTTGATCTCTGCCTCCCAAGTAGTTAGGATTACAGGTGTGAGCCACAGTTCCCAACTCAGAAATGTATTTCTCACAGTTCTAGAGGTTGGAAATCTAGACTAAAGCACCAGCAGATTTGGTGTCTGGTGAGGATCCTTCTCCTGGTTCATGGACAGCAATCTTTCTCTAGCTTCACATGGGGAAGGGGAAGATTTACCTCTGGAATCCCTTTTATAAGGGGACTAATGTCATTCACTAGGGCTCTGCCCTTATGACCTAATCACCTCCCAAGACCTCACTCCAAAAGCTATCACATAAAGAGTAAGAATTCAACCTATGAAATTGGGGGGTGGGAGGATTTAGAATTCAGTGTATTACTGTATTCCAGGAAGAAGATCAGGATTTCTTTTGGGTGTACACTGAGTTGTAGCTGAACGTGGTTCTTCCTTTGAGACCAACCTACCTTCTCCATAACTGCGTAAGTATTTGACACTTGCTTCCTCCAGACCCTAGACTTCAATAGGGAGCAGTCTGAAAAATCGGTGTTCTGTGACCTGCCCTCCCACTACTCAGCCTCTGGGACCAAGCACTGCTGGAATTGTTACCTAGGCTGGTGATGTTACTTAGACCAACTGCCATGGCATGCATTTCCTGCCAGAGAAAGCAAGGGGGAGCCTGCCAAGACAACAATGTGGAACAGGAATCTTGATTTGCTTTCCAAAGACAGGCTGCTGCCCTGTGGAGAAAGCTTTGAGAGTCCAGAGAAGGTCTGAGTTAGGGAGAGTGAGTTTCAGGAAGAAAAGGTCAGGTCCCATCTTACTGTGGTAAATCAAGGTAAAATAGTGACTGGTTCATCCAGTGTGTGTCACATGGTTGTGATAGTGTCACTCACTGCTTCACAACTGTACACAAAAAAACTGTGTAATAGGAATAATATAGGAAAAGCAAGAGCGTTGGTATTAGGAAGTATGAGTTCTGACAAATTCAAAGTTATAAATAAGTATGTGATCAATTTTTTTACAATATAATTTATAATTCAGATGCTATTTTATCTTAGAAATGGAAAGTATACATACACTTGGGAGTGGAGATTGGAACTATAAACATTTCTGTATGCAAATGGGCACAACCAATGGGGGCATGACTCAAGTGGTAGAGTGCCTGCTGAGCAAGCACGAAGCCCTGCCTCAGGGGTCAGATCCCGTACTGCCAAACAAGGGGCTGGGGCACAAGTTACCATGGCAGTTTTAAAATTTTATTTTCTTTCTTCAACTGAAGAGAATAAGAAAACACAGGCCCCATTTAATCATCCTAAGTAAATAAGTCATTAATAGCAAAAATTCATACAAATTGATCTCCGTATTCATTCAGTCCTTTTCAAGTGTTCCTGCGTCTGCTACTTCATATTCAGGTCAGGGCTCATATTCAGGACAGGGCTGGGAATACAAACTTATGCTTGGAAAACCTTCTTTCTGGCTTACCACCATTTCTCTGGGTGTCATGGTATTTGAGCTTGTAGTACTGAGGTCCTTTTATGCCACATAGCACATGACCAGGTGACACTACTGACCCACAAGGGTATTTTAATGCAGGATTATGCAAGGTTTTAATTGTCTCTCATCCACACTCTTGGAAATTTCTCACTACTATTGACATGAACTTGACTGGAACATAATTTAGGACTGAATGATGTGTCTATTTCAGTCACCACCACTCCATTCTCCTTTATTAGAATGAAAATTTTAGATCACGTGACAATAATATTGCATGAAAATATTTTCATTCTCTCACTTCTCTCTTTGGTATTGGGTATGGAAGATTTTCATTCTATTTCTCTGACTAGGAATTTCTTTTTCATTTTGAGGAGGGATCACCTCTACTCCTGAGGCTTTAGGCACACTGTAGCTCTCAAGTGACAGTGGTCAAACCAGCCTTCTGATTTGGATTCCAAATTTGTTTTTGATCAGGGAGCCCTAGTTCAGTAAAAGAAACAAATTGTCCCAACAATTATGACAGCAAAAAGTTAACAGCCTCTCAATAAAAAGGGCTCGTGCAAATTGACAAATATAGCTAAAACATCAAACGATAGAAAAGCAAAAGGACTGAATAGGAATTCACAAGAAATATGGATGACAATGAACTCTTGGCAAATGTTGAACATTACTAATTATGGAAGAAAAATAATGATATGTAATTTTTCAATATCACGCATTTGACAATATCCAATACTGGGGAGGATGAGATGAGGTAGGCATTCTTTAAACTGCTGGTGGTAGGATAAGTTGATTCACAAACATGCACAATCTTATAATATTACAAATAATATAATAAAACAATATTGTAAGTGACAAATATAAAATGATAGATTATCATAATCATTGCATATGTATTTTGTAACGCAGATTTCATATGTACACACATATATATATACACACTGTCTATATACTGTGCCAACCAATAAAAATAGAGTTTAATGAGCTAGTGGGTGTAGCTCAGTGTGGAGTGTATGTTTAGCGTGTGGGAGGCCCTGGGTTTGATCCTCCGCACCACAAAAATAATATTGCTTAAGAAGAATTTCTAATGATACTGTAATGTGTTCATGCCATAATGATGTTCACAAGTAGGATGCAAACATATATTTATGTTTATCTCAACAATATAAAACAATATTATAAATGGGAGGGAAAAGAAAATATTAGGCTGGGATCCTGGTTCAGAAATTTACTGAGGTGCCAGCTAAACTTGGGCAATTTATTCTGTGAGTTTCAATGTCCTGATTCATAAAATGGAGATGATACTTCTTTTTTTGCAGAACTGCTTTGAATATTTAATAATGTATGAAGAGGATTAGTACAGTATCGGGTGCATAGTCAACTTGGAATTGTTATTATTAGATTTATATACAGGCGCCTTCCTTTTGGTATTCAAAGCTCCATGAACTTACTCTGAATGTACCCTTCCGGCCTTAACTCCCTTTCTTGTGTGGTGTAAATTAAACCTTCAACAAGCTGCACTTGTACCAGTTTCGACACTAGCGCTTAGTCACAAGGAGGAGGTAAAACTCCTACTGACTTATAATCAGGCTCCATCTTCTCAACTTTTTCTTCCACTCCATTCTCTTTCAAAATAGTCATCATAGCTGAGCGTGGTGGTACATCCTGAGACCTCAGGACTCCGCAGACTCAGGCAAAACGATCTCAAGTTCAAGAGCTGCATAGCAAGTCCTTAGCAGCCTGGGCAAAACAGTGAGACTGCTCAAAAACATATATGCAAATAATAATATATATTAAATTATATACAGATATGTATGTGTGTATGTATGTATGATAATCCAGCAACTCCACTCCTAGATATATACCCAAAGAAGTGATCACACACACATAAAACTTGTACATGAATATTTGTAGCAGCATTGTTCATAACAACCAAAAATGGAAACAACACAAATCTCCACCCACTGACTAAAGGATAAACAAGAAGTGGCATATCAAAAAAGAATAACAAAAGAAACAAAAATGAAAGCAAAAAAAAGTGACATATCTACACAGTGGAATACTATTTGGCAATAAAAAAGAGTGCAATATTGGCACATGCTACAAC